GTTTGATTTCTTTGTATGTATGGATCACTTGGGTTGTTACCGACATCTGGTGAAAATTTCATGTCATTAGCACCTCTAGTAATATATTTACTGAGAAAAATGTTGACGTGTTCAATACTTATTTTACCCGCTGTATGTCCTTCAGCTTCAGTGCAGTAATTAACAGAAGTAAATATGATGTAATCTAAATGCTGCTGTTGTGTTTTACAGGAAGAATCAACATCGTGGACCTCCAGCAGGTTGGTTCTGAAGAGTTCTGTGCTGCAGTACCTGCCGGGTCTGCTCCATGTCGGTGTCCAGCTGAGACATTTAAATTAAAGCTGTGTTCTTCTTCAGATCATCAACGTGGACTGGGTCCATGTTGAAAACAGGGCAGGCGACATCGCCAAGTCCGATAAAGGGGTCCAGCTGGTCCTGGGACAGCTGATCGACGAGTGAGTAGAAGTTTTTACACCTGCAGCGCAGACAAACATAAACACAAACAAATAAACGTAAAGGTGGTGCTTGTTGATTAGGTGCACTCTGTCCTGATGCTGTGTGGTCCAGGCTGGTTCTGGTTCAGGCTGTGGACAGTCTGCTTAAAGCAGAGGCCATCTTTATGTAGAGCAACACATTGTTCTGGTTTTTTACATCCTCGTAGAGTTCTGTGTTGGACCTTCCAGTCAGCAGTATGACAGAGTGACAACACCAAATTAACACACCTGCTCCCCCTTCACACCTGACATCCTCTGACACGACACCAGAGMGCTCAGTTTGGACCTTTTCACTCAGGACTGCACTTCCTTCTGTTGCCAGCTRGTTAGACATGAGTGGTTCTGTGTGTTGGGTTATTCTGATGGATCAGCATATTTATTCCATCATAMAAAGAGAAAATATTTACAAAAACGTGAGGAGTGTACTCCTGTGAGCTACTGTATGTACCTGGTACCTACCTGCTTGTACTCAGTACGTACTGCATGGTAATATGTTTTACAACAAAAAAAAAAACATCTAATAATAACAAATGCAATTGAAAATGAGGAACTTTCTGTTGGAATATATATTGATTTACAAAAGGCATTTGATACTATAGATTATGACATATTATTTTGAAAATTGGAGATATATGGTATACGAGGGGTGGCATATTCTTGGCTTAAAAGTTATTTGCAAAACAGACGACAGTGTGTGGAAATGAACAAGACTGTGTCACAATTTAGAAGGGTTATAAGTGGAGTACCCCAGGGCTCTGTGATTGGACCAAAATTATTTTTACTTTAAATGATATCTGCAATGTTACAAATTTATTAAAGTTTGTTATTTTTGCTGATGACATTAATATGTATTGTTCTGGAAAAAATTTAAAGGACCTATTACCTGTTATTGAAATGGAATTAGAAAATCTTAAAACCTGGTTTGATATCAACAGATTATCACTTAATATAAACAATACTAAATTCATGATCTTTGGAAATCAAAAATAAACTACTAGAGATATGATATTAAAAATATGTGATGCTGAAATTGAACAAGTGTCTGAAATAAATTTTTTAGGAATTATTATTGATTATAAATTAACATGGAGACAACATATTAAACATATAAAGGAAAAGATAGCAAAAACAATAGCCATTCTGTATAAGTCTAGAAATGTTTACAAGGCTTTGCATATTATTATACTTCCATATATTTCTTATTGTGTGGAAGTGTGGGCTTCCACATACAAAACAACAATTAATGATATAGTACTTTTACAAAAACGAGCCATACGTGCTATTAACAAGTCTGGTTACTATGAACATACAAATCCACTGTTTATTATATCTGGTATCATGAAATTCTATGATTTGGTTCATTACAAAATAATGCAAATAATGTTTAGAGCAGAATTAGGTGTGTTGCCTGTTGGGGTGCAAAGATTTATTATAATATATGAATGTCAGTATGATCTGCGACATGTTATTAAATTTATAAAACGACAAGATAAAAAAGAAATAAAAAGAAAGTCTTTTTCTGTTGTAGGAATTAAAATATGTAATGATGCAAGCATGGACTTAAGAGAATGTAGTTCATTAAGGGTTTTCAAAACAATTCTAATTATATTTGATGGTTACAAGTGAAAATAACTTTAAATTGTTATTGTATTTGTTTTGTTAAGGATTGTTTGTTTTCCTTGTTTTTGTGTGTTTTTATAGCAGTGATTATGACGGGTAGTTTAGTTTAATTGGATGTGTAGGACAGGCGTAAATATAAGCCTTGTGCTTCTGCCTGTTGCTGAAAAAATTTGATGACTGAATAAACAATAATCAATCAATCAATCTAAATGATTTATATATTGTGATGCAGTAACTCCTGGTGTGTGTCTGCAGCTCATATCTGGACCGTTTAGCTGAGGAGGTGAATGACAAGCTGCAGGAGGCAGGTCTGGTCAGTGTAGCTGAACTGTGTAAAAACTACGACCTCCCAGGAGATTTCCTCACAGAGGTGGGTCAGTCGTCCTCGTCACTCCTCACAGGTTGGTGTGTGAAGAGAGACAAATATCCCGGCTGGGCTTCCTGGCTTGTTTCAGGAGCTGTCCAAACGTCTTGGGAGACTGATCCAGGGAGAAATGGACCAGTACAACAGAGGGGCCATCTTTACTCCAGCTTTCGTTGCTCGACACAAAGCCAGGATACGAGGGCTCTTCAGTGCAATCACCAGGTACACGTTAAAGACACGCCACATGTTGGTTTGTTGTTTCTGATGCTGATCTGGTCCTGTCAGAGTTTTATTAAAGAAGGTAACGATGTGATTCAGAGCTTTACTTCCTGTTATTTAGCTGTCATCTCTCTGCAGGCCCACGTCTGTCAGCAGCATGCTTGGATCATTTGGATTTCAGGAGCACCTTCTGTACTGTGAGTCCTGCCTCCTCGTGTTCTGGCAGAAGTAGAAAACTTGGTGTTTGATGCTGTCTTTCTCCTCACCAGCGGTTCTGGAGGAGATGGTGAACAGCGGGCGTCTGAGAGGAAGTGTGGTTGGAGGCAGACAGGACAAAGCTGTTTATATCCCTGATATCTACGCCAGAACTCAGAACGCCTGGGTGGACTCCTTCCTCCAGCAGAACGGATATCTAGGTCAGACTTTAGCCTGAATATGAAGGTTCTCAGGGCAGGTTTGATGATAGAACCTGAGTATTAATCTTCACACTCTACAACATGTTAGGTACACTAAACACACACAGTTTAGCTACTATTCAAATTCAAAAATACTTTATTGATCCCAAAGGGAAAWTACATTCCAGAACACCCCGTCCAAGAGAGACAAGAACAAAGAACCTGTCTGAACCTTTTTCTTTGTGCTTTTCAGCATGTGTTCTGCTCATTGGGCAGTTCCTTAAAAAGTCTTAAAAGGCCTTGAATTCATCAATCCAAAAATAAGGCCTTAATTAGCCTTAAAATGTCTTAAATCAATCTTTCAGAAGTCTTAAAAATGTTAACACATTGTAAATAGGATTGTTGTAATTC